ACCTTGCTCAAAGGATTAACTGTTTCACCATCATTCGGAGCCTCCTACAACAGTAAATGATATTCAATCAATATATCCCTCGATTCTACTCTAGTTCAGTTCTTGGGGTACCGGCTAACTAATATTCTCGCTTGTACAAGGGTGAAAAGATTTAAGTACCTTGGCCCAGTTGTTCAACTTGTTGTGTAAAGCCAATTAGCGCTAACCCTGGGTTAAATTTTAATCTAATAGTTTATGTGATGATGTAAAGATTTGCTTACCCTAGGGTTAAGCTAACCGGTTTTTGAGCAACTAGCGCAAGGCAAATAGGGTGCTGAGATTTTGGTGAAAAAATCACGTACCTCTATTTTGTTTATGAATGCCATCTGTTGCGCTTCCGTGGTATTTAGAAGTTCATTGATAACCTCCATATACTCGAGCACCTCAGACGATATTGTGGTAATGCGTTCCTTGCTGGACGACAAGTCAGTATTATCGGCCGTTGTTAAGGCATTGACAAGATTTTGACCTTGAGGTTGTTTACCACTCGACGGAATTGCACTCGCCTGACCTATTGTCTGGCTGCTTTGTTGAACTTTCTAAATTTGAGGAGTAAATTGGTTATTTGGATTGTAATGTTAAAACACGCAATGTTACCATAGCACTATCATGTTTCAAAACTGTGTAAATTCATGGATAAATGCGAGCAAATCAAATGTATTCACTATATCTGGCTTTTGACTATTTTCGATTGTCTATAGCTAAACAGTCCAACAGCCAAAATCTGCAAGATAGAGCTTTATGATATGTTTCAACTTTTCGTTCTATTTTCGCGGTCGTCAATAGCATTTCAGAGAACAATTTTAATCGACAATTCTTCGACTTTAGCATTAACATTAACTATTAAATTTTAGTAAACAAATTTCGATATATTACTTACTGATTACAGTACAGCAAGCAATTTTCGTTGCAGGCACTATTTTATCCGTATTTTTATCAAATTTTTCGATTTATTATATAAAACCTAATGGAGTTAGGGAGTTATTTCGGAAAAATAAGGAGTTATTTCGAAAAAATAAGTGACCTAAAGCGATCGAAAACTGCAGGCGGTTTTAATTGTTGAAATATTCGGTCTACAACCCCATGCCTTTTATATTTTGATCGGTCGAGTCACTAATGAGCCGCTATTTCGTAAACATTAGTGATTGGTCCATTTGTGTCCCCTATCTCAATTGTGATTGGCCGACTCGTGTTCACGTGTCTTTGTATCCACATTGATCCACATGCAATGTTTCCCGCCAGACAAAAAGTTAACAAACGTTTGAAAAACAAAATGGCGGCGAAATTTTTTACATAAGGTGAATCAACATTCAGATCAAAATTATTAACAGAATCGAATATGTAACTGAGAAATAAACAAAAAGAGACAAGAATTGCAGCAGGAAGTTTTAACAGGTTTAGTATAAGCTGCGTTTCAACTTATTGCTTAATAAAATTTCGAATTACCGTGTGAATATATATTGTCTTTTTTTGTTGTATTTATAAAAAAAATATTAGCTAATATAGTTCATTTCTCTTCGACGAGAAACATTGCAATACAGCAGAAATCTTTTCCTCGAGAAAGTGTGTGTTTTGTCTTCAAGTACGTAAATCTTGTCGTGGAAAACATTGCGACTTTCGAGTAAACAAGCTCACTTTTTTCCTCATTATAATATATTAGGCCAGTAACAACCTTTGTAACTTACATTAACAAGCTGTGTAGAATGCATCTCAGAAATCATTCGTATCTTATTGATCCACTGTTGACGTTCTCGGGCATCAGAAGCTGGGAAAAAGAAACTATGTATATTGCAATTATGCTTTGGACCCTGAGGTCCAAAACATATTTTTGGTAAGTAACTGATCAAGGTCCAGGGGGGCCAGGTTTCAATGTATAAGACAAATCAAGTTAATTTAAAAACAGCTTATTCCTTCCAGCAATGATTAGCGTAATGAATAGACATAATCAAAATCACAATACATAAACAATTTCACCTAAATCTATGATTACAGACTTAATCGAGTACCAAAGACCATTTATACATTAATACATATGTAGCTAATACACTTTCTTTGAATTAATTCTCCCTCTTCTGCACCGAGACTTAGGTTAACCATTGCATGATGTATTATGGACTGTGTATCAAATACCATATCCTCACCTCTCAGTTTGAAAAGATCACCATTTGCTGCATTTACACTAAACGTTACAGAGTCTTCATCACTTGGGGCTATTACAGCACCCTACAACAAAAAAGGCAATTCTCAATGCAAATTAAATATATTTCACAGACATAATATAAGTTTTTTAAGTAGTATAATGATAATAACATTATAAGTTAACATATAATAATTATATTTCTTTTAGTTCACTCACCATCAAATGCACTGAACCCCTTGGTTCTGAACCATGAGTCCATTTGCTTTTGTCCTGAAAATGCAAGCCAATTAATTAGATGCAACCCCACTAAATTCAACAAGTACGATCGTACTATAGTGGACCAGGAACTGCGTAACCGAGTTTAATTTCTGAACTGCATTGTATTTATAACAATGGAGAGGACAATGTATTTCTAATCGTTTCTGTTTACTTATATATAGGCTGAATATTAATGATATGTATATATTATTTGCTGCAAATATATCAAGAATTGCTTGTAACTTGCTTCAAAGGTAAAAGGTAAAAATTCGAACTCCGTCAATCGATGCGGAATATTGCTTAGAATAATTGTGCCAAGTTTCATTCCGATCAAACAAGTAATGCTAGAGCCTTAGGGTTTTTTTAAAGAGCGTCACCCCCTAACAACAACAACAACAACAAGATTAGCAGCGGTTAGGGACCAGTTCCTGGTCCAACAATCTTAATCTGCCTAATAACTAGCTATAACAGTTTCACTTGTTAGTGATATTTAATGCCAAATTGGTGAGATTAGCATTTCTCCAATTTCTCTTTGAAGGTCTGGATCTGCTTGGTTTTTATATAGCAATCTTAAATCCGAAACTGTTTGTGCTTCGATCAATTGGCAATTTTATCTATTGCAACTAAATTATTCCTTAATTCTGAGGCTTGTATACAACTACATTTGGAATGAATGTGAACATGCATCATTGGATAAAATAGCAGTTGATCTAGGTGATCCAACCCTACTACCAGTACACAAATATACTTTAAATTAAAAATAAATGTTAAAGTACCACATAATATTCTAGATGGCCAGTTTCAGAATTCAAGACAAACCATCGATATTGCCAACCCTTCATCAGATTTGTCCACTTGCTTAGCTGACCTTCCATTTTTTGCCTAAATCGAAAAAGCAAAGTGTCTCGGTGAACACGAAAAACTAATATTAGATAATTTACAGTCTTCATAAACATAAGTAAGACAATAATTAAACCACATAAATATTATTAAATAGGCAATTTCAGCTTCAAAGTACTGCTTTTTAAAGTGATACATAATAGCTATAATTTCCTGGTGTGCTTGTTTATAAGTGGTACTTGATCCCTGGTATTTTAAAATGGATTAAGCAAGACTTTAACTTATTTAGACTGTTCATGTTAGAAATTCAGACAAAATGATTATTATTGATGATTATTATTGATGATTAATGCTAGCCAGGGACAGAACCACAACTTACAACACAGAGTATTTTTAACCCAGGCATTCTGGGAGCCAGGTATCTCTGGACACCCTCCCCACCTAGCTGCTCCTCTTGATATTTCAAGTTTGGATTAATTTAGTAGGGGTTTTAATATTTGCCCCAGAAATGTAGAATATGGTCCAGTAGTGTCAGATCAGTAACATCAGCTTTAAATATAAGCATTGCCTTAGGTGAACTTTCACCCCACATTGTTTATTGTTCTGCACACTCTTCGATCTCTATTATATAAAATGATGATCTATTATCAAGGAACCTATTATATTAAATCACATTGATTTTATCAATAATTGCAAACATTGTAGTCAAAGGAAAGTGAAATTAACGAAGAAAAAGTGTTACAATACCTCAATAAGTTGTTCTCTTCCCTCTTTTGTATCTCCTGTCAAAATTTGAGAACAGAATACGTCAAAACTTTTTACAACCCTTAACAATGTCAGAAACATCGAAATTTAAAGGTTTACATGAATATTTGACGTGTAAATCGCATAATTTCGTTCGATATTTTACATTATCTCACAAAAGCAATAATGTCAAAAGAATTTCTACCTCTGCCTTCTCCATTACGGAGGAAATGCTGGATTTCTCCCACTCACTCAAGCCAGACAAATCAACTTCCGATAAGGTTGGCATTCGTATCAAATCTTTCGCCATCTTCGTATTTCGCAATATTGGCCGTGACAAAATCGAGCTAGTGCCCAGGAAATGGTCTGACTTTTGTTACTTTTCTCATGGATTAACTGTGATTAGCTCTAGGATTATGGTTTGAGTTTTTAGATTAAGAATTATTTCTCACATCTAATATAGTAATCATCTTATCCCATTCTAATACCAATCCTGAAACCATTCACATTATCACATTCAACCTGCCCCAGCAGCTCAAACATTGTACTTATCCTGTTGGTTTTGTTTTTGTGGGATCAGGTTTGAATTTTGAGGTGATTAGGCATAATCAACCATTTTTTTTAACTTATTCAAATTGGAGACTGGGTCTGAAGGCACTAGTGCCCAGGTGCTTTTCACACCCACACATAGCCTGAGTTGCATCCGCTTGTATTATGTAAAATTACACTTCCGTAATACAAGCGGCTGCAACTCAGGCTAACGCACATACTTATCGAGTAGCATGGGTATATACAAAGCTGATATTACAAATTCCTGACCCCATGGCTTAATAAATCAATCAACCTGTATGTACAGAGTAGCCACCTTCAAAAAAATGCCTGAATTACATGGTATAGGACTATACAACCACCTGTACATTAAAGATTTTTGTTTAACAATTCTTTATAAAATTTCTTTATTTTATTCTATCTTGTACTAATATAATAAAATATATTTTTATAAGCAATCTGTTTTATGCCATAAAAATGTTCATTAGGATGGAATAAAGAAGACATCACTGACATGTGTGTATCAGAATGATCCTTGCAATATCAACTCAGTGTTTGGATCATTAAACCATCCTCCTACTGAATTGAAATGAAATTACATGATGTCAGTCATTTGCTTTCTCATTTTATGAGAGAGCAATCATTCAAAATCACTTTTCAGGGGGTTGATATAGTAGTTACCAGCATTATAATAATGGCATCTTTAAAATTTCAATGTGTATGTGACACAAACCATGAAGGTCAAATTAATCATCATAATTTATCTACAATTCATCATCGTTATTCAATTCAAAATGATACGGTTGGAAAACAACAGGTCTTACAAACAGTTTCTGTCTTTCAAAACCAGCTTTCATTTCCAACATATCCTTCCCAATATTAACTATCCTTCCTGTCAGTTCCATGCTTTGTTTCTTCTGAAGCCCTTCAAGGATCTTTGTTGACCGAAACGGCACCTTTGTTATCATCGATAACGAGTGAGTCTTTCCATGAACACTCCGAAGAGAGAAAATTAGAAACAATCTCGAGGTTTTTGCTTGGTTGTCACCATAAGCTGAATTTGTAGTTGCATTCAAGTCAACAATCTCTTGTGGTCTCACTTTTAAGGTTACCCGAGGCGTAACAAGAGAAAGACTGTAGAAAGATTTGCCAAAATGTTTTAAACACGATTCACCCAAATCTTGCAAGATTTCCTCCGCAGTTGTTGCAAGCTTGTACCTTGTTCCTATGTCTTTGTTAACCAAAACAACTGGTGAACATAAATGAACTTTAAAACTTGGGAAGAGTAGAAATGGCAAAAGGATTATCGCAATATATTTATAAGAACCCTTGAAGAATGCTCTAAAATAGAACCAAACTGCGATAATCAGTGCAGCGGTACAAATGGCGTACACGTACGACATTTGAAAGTTTTTTGATAAACCTGAGAGACTTTCCAGTACATACATAACACCAGGAAAGCTGAAAAGAACAACAAATGCTAGATACTTCCATCTTGACGGCTCGCTCTCGCTTTTATTTGTTTCTTGTTCAGACTTGTTGCTCTTTTTGCGTTTCATATTTCTTGATACACGATGAGTTATTTGTAAAACAGTCGCTATTAAAAGAGTTTGGTTTTGTCAACTGAAGTTTACGTGTGCCTATTTCAATGGATCTTCTCTAATTATCTACTTGCCCCGATGCCGTACGGCAATCACCGAAGCGACGACGAGCAGATACAGATAAAAAGATCGGGGAAAAGCTGGCTATCTAGGCCAGTGAATGATTTAGGCCTATTAAAGCCGGTTTTTCACTAGCGATATATTTCGCACATAGCGACATTCTACTTGTTTCAGAGCTCTCAACTGCAAATCATCTGGTACAAATTGCCCAAATACAAAAGAATAAAGTCGCTTCGCGCGAAAAATAACGCAGGTGGAAAACCAGCTTTACTCCGGGCCTCCGGCTACCGTTTTAATAGGTAGGTCGGAGTCTTAAAACTTAAAATGCTAGCGCTATCCTCATGTACATCACAAAGTGGTATAAACGATCATGCACGCAGACGTCACAAAATCACAGATCACAAAATGGTACAAACGATCATGCAGTTAACCGCTATTCCCTACGTGTTCGCAGGCTCAAGTAAAAATGGGTGTCGAATACATATGAATGGAATTTTTTTTACTTTTTTCTATCAAACACTACGTAACAATTTGCCTGACTACTCCGCAGTCCCTTAGTTGGAGATTTATAGATCAGTGGATAGTGATATACAGTGAGCCCTATATGGTGAAATATATATATATATATATATATATATATATATATATATAATATTATATATATATATTTATCACATACTTGTGCCTTTATCAGGGCGATAACAGGGTGACATAAAAACGATATCGTCACTGATATCGCTTTTTGTCACTGATATCGCTTTTTGTCCCGCTGCATTTGCCGCTGTCAAAACAAAGATGGCTGACTCGAGCAATTCGAGGTTTGTTTCAGTCAATGTCGATTGCTTTATAGATCAAAAAGAAGTATGTGATAAACAGGTTATCACAATCGAGACGAGGTGATATCAGTTTTATCGCTTTCAGGACGATATCATAAATGTCCCTCGTTCGCTGCGCTCACTCGTGACATTTTATGATATCGTCCCTCAAGCGATAAAACTGATATCACCTCGCCCCTCATGTGATAACCTATACATATATATATATATATATATATATATATATATATAAATATATATATATTATATATATATTAATTATATATATAATATAATATAATTATATATATGAAGGTGCTTGTGGAAACATGTCTGGTATATTATGAACTTGTTGTATTAATGATTTCCTCAGACATAAAATTAACTATTTATTTCACTCAGTGTTAATATCCAAACGTTTCGCCGGTTAAGGCTTCTTCAGTGGAATGGTTAGTAGCAATATTAAGATCCTAGTGTATATACAGGTATGTATGATTAAAAATTCATAGTTTATTTCTATTATAAACAGAAGTAATAAACATGCTAGTCACGCATTAGTGATAAGTTTTACTTGGGATAAAATTCTATTAAAATTCTATGGGTTAAAAAAAAAAAGGTTTCGATATATACAAATCTATATGTTAAAAATCGTTCTATATACAAATTGTTTTCCCAACACAACCGTTCATAATGTCTTCAGATTGGTTTTGTATTTCATCGGCCTCTATATATCTTCCTTCTTCATCATTTCGAATATTTGAACGGTTGTGTTGGGAAAACAATTTGTATATAGAACGATTTTTAACATATAGATTTGTATATATCGAAACCTTTTTTTTTTAACCCATAGAATTTTAATAGAATTTTATCCTAAGTAAAACTTATCACTAATGCGTGACTAGCATGTTTATTACTTCTGTTTATAATAGAAATAAGCTATGAATTTTTAATCATACATACCTGTATATACACTAGGATCTGAGGAAATCATTAATACAACAAGTTCATATATATATGTATATTCCTAAGTTTCATCTCTTACAAGCTAGGTGCACTTGTTCAGCTAGCGCATTCATTGGCCAAAAACATGTCATTCACTACAATAATACGTGATGGGAGTTACGTGCGAGCCAAAGAGTTTCTGACTTGAGTGCATGGGCCTACTGGATGACACCTTGTATTTGAAGTTGATTCTATTAATTGCTGTTGGTTTATAGTCCAATATCGCACTTAGAGATGTTGGTAAGCTATATATTAATCCTGTTTTAACAGTGTTATGTTATGTATGATTTAATTGATTTGTGAAGAAGTTTTACAGTATTTGTGAAGTCATGCATCTGCGTTGCAACAGATATACCATCTGCTCTTAGTCAATATTTCCTAAGTTTCATCTCTTACAAGCTAGGTGCACTTGTTCAGCTAGCGCATTCATTGGCCAAAAACATGTCATTCACTACAATAATACGTGATGGGAGTTAACGCGCGAGCCTAAGAGTTTCTGACTTGAGTGCATGGGCCTACTGGATGACACCTTGTATTTGAAGTTGACTCTATTAATTGCTGTTGGTTTATAGTCCAATATCGCACTTAGAGATGTTGGTAAGCTATATATTAATCCTGTTTTAACAGTGTTATGTAATGTATGAGTTTAATTGATTTGTGAAGATGTTTTACAGCTGTATTTGTGAAGTCACTAAGACTAAGTAAAACCAAGCGCTAAGTTTAAAATACGTGACCTTAAATATTACCGCAACTCCATAAAATTATGCGATTTGGATGACGATGCTCTATCAGTAGAATCTGTAGGTTAAAAATAGGGGCAAAAAACTATGGTAAACGTATGTTAGAGGCTAAAACGAATTTTTTTATCAGAAAAGGGTCTTTGTTACTATAGACACAAGTTTAGGATATAGCTTTTGGTTATTGCTGTATTGCTGTGTTTCCCGTAAGGAAATAATTTACGTGGTTGAGAAATAGTACCCAAGAGCTGTTATATTTAGAATTTTCGTAGCTCGTCCCCACCCTGTATTTATACCCAACAGACAGATGATGCGTCAGGACTAAAATTCGTTGAAATACACAAACTATATGCGGATAATTCGTGGTGGCAGATGATCCGTCTGTCTGCCCGTACGCGTGTTTACCCACAGACCGAACTGGAAGACGAACTATATATCTTTGACTTAATTTGCCTGCCCGAGTTCATCTATACGGATAATCCGTTTCCTGTATGAGTTAGGACAATTCTAGTTTTCTAGCCCAAAATTTGATCTTTAATAATTTTGCTCGAATTAATGTGTATTTAATATAATTTTAAAAGATTGTTGGGAGCCCCTCAAGTACGCAGTATTTCACCTGTTCCTTTGCATTGCAAACATGCAGTCTCTCGACCGTGATGATCCATTCGCTTGTGTCCAATAGAACACAGTTAGCTACTGTTTTATTACGCAGATTGGGACTGAAAACAGAAACGTTACAAACAACGTGATATAAGAATGACGAATAACTTAGCAAGTCCATAAGTTTGGCGCATCCTGCCAGTTTACGCAACAAATTTGCATATAAATAGGCATCTGTAGTTCTTTTTTACTTACTGTATAAAATGTGAAAGCTCAGAAGAATTATATTTAATGGATCACATCGCCTGTGGGGATACTTTTGTTAGATTTTAGGGAGTTTCAGATGACACAACGAATGAACGAACAGCGGGTATACACGGACTACATATACTGTTATTATATACACAAGCGCCAGATATGGGGTATGCTGCAATATCATTGGTTGGCTACTAGACAGATATTAGCTCATATCTGTCTAGTAGAGAAAGTAAACAAAATAGCCGAAAGATTTGGGGAGTTGAGTGAAATAGAAATCCAAGCTTTAGTTGATAATAGTACACCAAAATGCACCGAAAGGGCGACAATAACTGTTGATTAATTAAAGCCGGTTTTCCACTTGCGAGTTTTTTCGAGCGAAGCGATAATTTTCGAGGCGAAATATTGTTTTCCACAGGAGACAAAAAACGCGCGAAATACAAGCATTCTGTTTCATCGGTTGCTGTTTGTAACTCTCACTGTTTACTTCCCATAAACATCGATATCTTGTACTTCTTCAAAGAAAATTCCTTTGTCAAAATTATCGGCTGTCTGCGGGGTAGATGGTTGGGAAATTGCATTCCTTTCATGAGTAAACTCGTTATTTGAGTTGCTATCGTTAGCAGATAACTCTTCAACCTCCGCCATTTTGACAAATTAATTATGCAAAAACAAAAACACTGAAATCTGATTGGCTGGAGACATTTTTCGCCGCGAAAAAGTAGAAATCATTCGAACTCAAACTTTCGCCGTGGCGAACAGCTTTCGAATTTTATCGCCATGCATATGTGACGTCATTTGAGAGATGCGCATGCGTGACTTATGCGCATGCGAAAATTATTGCTTCGCGCGAAAAAATTTGCAAGTGGAAAACCGGTTTAAAGCCTATAAAGCGCGCACAGGTGCACTTGAAGCCGGCCTGTCACACATGTCACTCGTGGCAATTGTCGCCAACACTGTCCATGTCTGCGGAGACCAATTTGAGATGTTTTGTCATTCGTGTCGTAAAATCAAACATGTTTGATATTTTCCATCACGCGTGACAAATCTGTCCGATGCCTGTGCGCTGAAGAAATGCACGTAAACCATCCAGTAAAGACAGGTTTACGCTAGCAAAGTTTCTGTGCGCACTTTGAAGGGCTTTGAACCCAAGTGGATCGTGTTCAACATTGAACACAGAACTTCGAAGAAACCGCCACTTTGTGGCTTTTGCGAGACTATTGTGGGGGAAATGAGAGCGGTACCTGTGGGGGGAAAGTAAAAAAAATAATTAAAATATCTACTGAAGTTTCATTCATTTCTGCTAATAAAAAAGCGCCTTCCGTTTACGGGCGTCCATGTTTGACCTGTTGTCTGTGCAACCAGAAATACTGTGCTTTGACTTTGGACAGTGTAAATGTCAGCGGTTCTGCTCAAACACTGTGGTCACGCACAATGACGTCACTGTGCGCACAGAAACTTTGCAAGTGAAAACCGGCCTTAACAATATTATGTAAATGCGAACCACTACAATAAAAGAAATTAGGTATGGACATGCAACGAGAGTGATGATAGTGTGATTTTCTGATGACGAACAAATTCTGCTTTTTCTTTTG